GAAGACGTGGTGGGGACGTATGAGCGAGTTCATCGTAACGCGTTCGGTGGTGTCATGCCAATCCACGCTTCATTCGAGATGCCTCAGCTGTGCCGCTGCTGACAACGTAACTCGTCCGAAATCACCAAGTGAACTAGTGGGCGGATCGCTTTTGGGGGCGGAGTGCTTTCGAAGTCCTGCTCAGCAACCAGCGCACCTTTCGTCGTGAAAGCGCCACACCTCCCTTCCCTGGGCAGCCAAAGTGAGCGATTCGTGTGGTGCATATGCTTCTCCGGTATGTGATCATGTGATCGTCTACCCAGGGTTCCTACACCCATGTGCCTAGGAAAGGATGCCCATACCCCAGTTCATGATCATTTTCTTGGACCACAGTAGACCAAAATCTGAAAGCACCTCAGGAGTACTTCCACACTACACCGATCCTTATCAGAAGTATTTTTTAATGAATTGATTACGTGTCACGAAAACTACCCCCCCGAACTTTTACCCTTTGAGAATTAGTAGGGAGTGTTTCGGTACAACACGACTTGCATAACAATATGAGGCGGCTCTTGATAGTAAATTTGGGTAAAAGTGGCTGATGTGAACAAACTGCAAACTCTCCCGATCAAAGGAGCCCTTTCTCGTGAGTCTAGACCACTACTACTTCCTCCGAGGCCACACAACTTTCGACCAAAGGAATCCGTGAAAAGTAGTGGTTCGAACTTGCACCGGCTGACGTTTCGGCGTTGCCGCCTTCTTCTTCAAACTTGGAAGGACGAAAGCCTTTCAAAACTACCTCTCTAAACATTATTTCAACTCAAGACAGAAGTTATTCAATAGGATGTGGACTACTAGGCTGACTTCATGGAACCAGTGAAAGCTAACCCTTAGAGGAGCCGGCTGAAGAGGTCCACCTGCACACCTATAATCCCAAGCATCTCCGATATCATTAAGAGCGGTCGCTAATTCCTCGTACCAAGTGCCTTCAAGCGAGAGGAGTTTCCTAGTTCTTGGTTCGGTGCATAATATCGTAGCACTCGCATTTGGCAAAAACGTTTAAAGCAAAACCCAAAAGCAAAGCTAAGCATAATGATGTTCTTCTCATCATTATTTACGACTTTCGTTCCATTTCGCAAGAAATTACCAGGTTTAGAAATCAAAAAAGGGTACTGAGCCCGTTTCTAGAATCCTCATTATTTTCAATATGTACGACGTGAATATGATTTGAAATTAAGGGTCGACTGGAGTAAGGTTCGATGATGACGATGGATTCCGAAAAACTCCTATTTTGGCAGCTTTCTTCTCTATATGGATTTTCGCCCACCTTGATTCTCCAACTTCTAAGCGCCATATCTGAGTACACTTACAGTATAGAAGAAAATGCCAAACATGTATTGTAGGGCAGAAGAAGCCCTTTCAATGGTATATGTGTTTCTTGGGTTATGCTTGTATTCTCTAGATTCGTAGCTCGAAGAGAAAAACGCTACGGTATGCACCAACCCAATAGGTGTACTCCTGTGTGGCGCATTCCACATTTTGCTTGGAACGAGGACGTCAGCACTAGTTGAAACCAGCTCAATATCTACGCAGGCAACGAAAACATGGAGCACTGAGCAAAAAATCTTCATTCAATAGATAACGGAAAACGTGAGCACAATGGCGAAAGTGACTTGATGTGGCAGGCAGCTGGAAGGAACATTCAACACGATAACTGGTAAGTATGGACGAGTTTTCTCTTACACATTCAATGACACACACTCGTATACGCAGTAGGGAGTGTTCATGGATATGATGTACATACAAAAAGAAACTGCTATGAAAATGCATCAGATCAACAAATAATAGTCATACATATATGTACTGGCTAGCAGTGAAGCACCGATTTGGCAGTAATGCCTATGATGGGAGCATTAGGATGAGGGGATGGTAAGCGGATAAATATTTTCAAAAAATCGAAAATGATTTGTTGAAAGATCTCGCCGAACAAAAAATACAAATTGTCTCTACAATGGAATGCGATTAGAAGTATAGTGGCAGTGGAACTAGAATGTTGCGATTATAAATGTGCGTCCCCCTAAGGGCTATGTGGCGCTACTATCGTTTTATGGAGGCGCGAACTTGTCACTTAAAGGACGAATTCACGCTGGGAAGGCAACCCATTTCAAATTAACTCAGGGATGGTGATTGGTACACGAAAGAAGGAAGAACCATGAGAAACGGCCCAGAACCCGAGAAATGGGACCCCTTCCTTCCCCTTGATTTGCGCATTGATGCGACTCTTATCGCTGTGCCCTCCTCAACATCACGCTCTCTCTGCTATCTAATCAATCCCACGTATAGATCTGCGGCGAGTGATCAGCTGGTCGGTGGGCGGAGATCGCCAGACCCGCCAACTTTGAGGCATAATAGGTCGCCGAGGTCAAATTTTTCGATGCGAATTGCGCATCAGTTCGCACCCTCAGGAGGTCCGTGGGTTACTCAACTAGGTGAATTACTTCTTCCTCGACCTCCATTCTAATCGTAAAATCCTCCTTTAAAGGCAGTGACCACGATGGAAGGGGGCGGAGCGATGATGGTGACGTCGAGCGTGATTGGTGAAACCTCGTTGGGAGGTTGTCTCAACCACACTCATCAATGCGCTGTCAAGAATTATGCACCAATGATGTCCAACGCCTCATCGGAACAGCTCCACCCTCCGGCGATCGCGTTCAGTCCGTTTAACCTCGATTAGATCAAAAAGGCTGCTCAGCTGTAAACTGGGATTCTTTTTTGCGCGTCTTTGTTCTCAAAGGGATGACCAGCGCCAAATTTGCGCCACTAAAAACGAACAGTAATGCGTAATCATTTTCCAAATGCGCACCCAGGGAGGCCTGTAATAGAGGCCGCTTAAAAGTAGTTGACTTCTTCAGCAGTGGTGGTGGTGACAACTTCGTTTCGTCGTCGTTCGGTTCCCACTCGTGGATCAGCGCCGGGTAGGAAATCGTGCGATTGGGCGACTCGCGTCCACTCGATCGTACGTGGCACGACCGGCATCGGAATCCGCGTCAGACTCCGAATCGTACTGAAAAATTAGCTTTGTCATGTTCATAGGGCTAAACCTGATAGGAGCGCTATTTTTAGGGCTCACTCACCGCTCCTTCTGTCCTCATGTGTCCACCCATCGAAGCTCCTTGAACTCCAGAAGGGATAAGGCCGGAGCTGCCATGAAGAGACGCCGCTGTGGCTCCAGCAGCTGCGCTGGCCGATGACGCCTGACGGAAGTGGTCTGCCGATGTCACCGCGTACTGCTCGGTGTCCGTCTCAAACGGACCGTGCAACACCGTCTGGAATGGCTGAGCTTCACGATGAGGACATGTAATGGCTATTGGGTCATTGGGAGTTGACTGACCTGACTTTGGCTGACTACGTTGCCCATCTCATCGCGAACGGTCGTAGTACGAATCTCGCGGGTGGTGACATCTGTGGTGACTCTTCGTTCGATCTCTTCCAGAGAGCCGTCCGACGAGACCGAAGCTCCATCGTCCAAGTATGTGCGCCAAGAACGGCAGCATTGTCATGGCCTATCATCTCATCCTGAGAATAGGCACCATATTTTTTAGTTTAGTGAGAAAATTGTCGCAAAAACCATACCGCATGGGCGCCTGGCTTCAGTTTAGCACGAGGAATGGTATAGTAGTCGGAACCGAGTATTTCTCGGCCGCTTGCACTGCCTTCGCTGATGCCTCTTGCACCGAAGCAACTGAAAATCAAAAATGTTTAGGTTGTTCCAACAATCTGACAGTCAGGCATCTTACCGGCATCGTGCGCAGAGGTACACACAGCAAAGCAGCGTGAGCAGGAGGAGCAGTAGAGCCAGAATGGTCATCAAAATGAGGCCTGCGTTTGATGGAGCAGCCTGCAATGGGAAATATTGGTTGCAATGGCTTTTTCAAAAGGTGTTCCTATTTCTAACTCCATTCTCACGTAAAAGCATTAGTGATTGAGTACCGGCAAACAAATAAATAAGCAGACGCTGGACAGCTGCATGGACAACAGCGAGGATTAAGATCTATTGACCTAGAGAAATGTTCTGTGCGTGGCTAGGTATGGGCTACTGCGCCTTGGAATAAAATCACATTCACATCGGTCTCTGCCCTTACGATCAACTTACGAATTGCTTCGGAGAGCTTTTTCAATTTCGTTTCTCCTCTTAAATTATCGGTAAATCATTAACACAATTCCTCACTCAAAGCACGCTCAACTGTTGCGCAATTTTTGAAGGGGAGAGGGGGCGTATTTTGGGTTGGCGAAGGTCCAAAGGTTGAAAAGAGGATCGCATTTTTGGAATTCAAAGAAGAGGTTACGGGAGGGGCTGGGAATCTCTCTGAGGCTGACGGTGGTGATAGGGTCGTATCGAGGTTCCTTCTGATAGAGGTGGAGGGGAGGGGGGAGGGATTGGGCAAATGGTCAAATTCCTCGAATTGGAATGACGGTTGTCCAACGCTGCTTTGAAGTCCTACAACGACTCACAACTAAGAGATCGCGTTGCACATTGAAGGCATTGAGATCATGAGGAATAGCCGCGGCTTCGCATTGGGATTAACAAAAGCCCATCTATTTTTAAAAATTTTCAATGCCAATGTCAATAAAATTTTAAAAAGGTCATGACGTCCTCCGATCAAATTCCTGAAAATTTCTCGTAAAAGGTTTTCTTTTACCGAACATGAAAAAAACGATGATATTGTGCTCGGGCGCACTCTGTGGGGTGGGGGAGGCTAAGAGGTGCGTCAAATGCTGACGATGCAGTATGGTTAGCATTCGCATTCGAGAGCTTTGTCACGGATAACAAGAAGGTATATGCATGGAGTAAGCGACCCAGTATAACTACAGGACCAGATCGATCCCAGTCCAGTGGCCAGTTAGTCGACGTAATTAGAGGAGGTCATCCATCGAGGGACCGTTTTTGGGCAGGACTGACGTCGACAAACTTTTAAAACTATACGTAATTAAGCAGAGATGTCTAGATTTCAGTTTCGTGGACAAGGGTTCAACGGCCTCGAATAATCGTCACATCCCGAAGAGAGTGGCCACTAAAACTTAAAATTACAATTGAAATTTGTTGAAATCCCGTTAAGATTGGTACCAAAATGATCGCGAATGCAAGTTGTTTCCGAAAATGTTCACATTTCCAGCTTCGGAATACATGTTTTGAATTTCCTAGTCGAACTAGAGGGTTTGCAATGGTGTTATGACCGCAGGTACTGCTATTGGCAAGAAGAGACTCAATCGCTCGTTTCCTTGAAAACAAGGCCGAAGGTTTCGAGGAAATCGGGAGTTCGCTACATCTTTAGATTCGTCATGACCAGTGCTATCCGATGGTATAAATTTTATAGCATTTGCGCCATATTTTCATAAGTTACAGCAAAACGACGGTTTGCTACGGAAAGTTGTATCACATTTCGGCGATTGAACAAAAATTAGGGGCGGTATTGTAGTATCCAGTTGTCCTTAAATTCTGCAAATTGTCGAACTCACATCAAAGACGACTGCAACTTTCATTGCGAACTCGACTTGCTATCCTCATTATACGTTGCAGTGTGTTTCATTATGCGCTTACACGTTATTTCTGGACTCACACCATTCCAGATCATATTTATCCAGTTGCCACTGTGTATGCACATACCATCGAGAGGAAAAAAGTGTGTAGCACGAGAGCGTTGGGCTTTGAGCAATTCCCCAGGAGGAAATCGAATACCGCACTTCTCGCTTTCCGAGCTGCTAGGCCACCGATACACAAGGCACCAATGAACAGGCTCATCACGGTATACGTGTGATACTGATAAGCTGTGCTGATCGCGCCATCAAAAGCTGGATTAGTTTGAAGCAGGGTGTAATTCGGTCGTGGGTTTGTCTACAACTCGTTGACACTCCTCCCCGCGCGTGCACACAATCTCGCTCTGCGCGAGCTGTCTGTGCTCTGCGGACAGACAGCTCGCACGACGTTCTGCGCGCGTACGATCACTCTCGACACACAGTACATCTCGAGGATTTCTCGACTCAGCTGAAGTGTAATGCGATGAGCTGGTTCACCGGTGCCATCGCTGGGGTCTAATCGGTAGCACATCTGCGCGGGATGTGAGTGCGGGGTTATATTACCGCCTGAGGCGGAAAGTTCTATCCGTAACTTTTTTGTGACAACTTAATGGCGAACAGCAAAAAAAAACAGCAGTTAGCAATCAAAAGCGATGTGTAGCGTTTAAAGTGCGTAGTCACCGCCTTCCGTACCCACGCAAAACTGTTGACATCTTCCTCTCCTATAATTTGAGAAGCTTGTATGTTTTTCGATGAAATAAGTCTCAAAGTATGGCTTTGCTGCATTCTTGCGTTGGATGCTAGGAAACACAGTTTTAAGCCAACGAATTCCTGTAATCACTTACACATTTATACCCAGTAAAAAGGCGTAATTCCTGTAATTTGTATGTAATTCGTGATTTTGTGACCACCCCTCTAAAGGGTCCCAAAGCCTAACCGCCACTACTACCGGTCTTATGTATAGGATACTCCCAATATGACCTATGTACATCGTTCCACCCCCCCCCCCCCGTCATGGCTTTTTTATTATTCGAGAGTATTTGATTCCGAGACCACTCGACACGGCCACTCCGCCCACTTCCTCCTCCAAAACAGCAATCGAGAAGGTGGGGGGGGGGGAATCGGTCTAAAGCGTCGAATCCACAAATTTTGTCAACTTTACCCTCCTCTGGCAAAACTTCGCCCAACTCATCCTGGAAGACCACGTCAATCCCGCACATCGCAACACAATTTTTACGGCCATTTTGCAGAGGTACTTGGACATACTTAACCAAAAATGCGACCTCCTCTCTTTTCAAAACCACAAGCGCGACCCCCCCCCCTCTCGTTGGAATAGTGCGAACAGACAGCTTACTGTGGAAGGGTGTGTCGTTCCTGATCTGTACGGTATGCGTTGGGCGCGCTATCGCTGTCGCTGGGGTACCCCCCCCCCCATGAGGCCTCGCGACACAAGAAGGCAGAGTCGCGGACGAGTCGCAGCGCGTGAGCGATGTAGGACGTACAATGGAACATTCTATTTAACTTGACGCGAAATCCCTACAGTACGCGCGGACTCGTCCGCTGACTCGCCTTCTTGTCGCGCGACGGGCCTCCTGGGGGTACCCCTGTCGCTGTGCGATCGAACAATCGCCGAAGTCTCACATCCACCTAACGAATCCCAACTTCTAATATTAAACCATGTCAAAATATGACAGCTCTCGCCATCGCTGTGCTTCCAAATAGAGCTTTTAAGAAGATAAGGCAATCGATTACCGAAATAGCCACCAGCAACCCATGTCTACTTTTAATTCAGCACATGGGATCGTGGACTTCTCATAAATGGCACCGTGAAATTGTCCGGTAATGAAGATGTCGACAAATGCAAGCTGTTCAAGGATTTCGCTGCTCAGGTATACTTGGGAGATCCGAAAGGGAGCACATGGCAAAGAGAAGATGTTCAAAAGTCCACTGTGAAAAAAGGCAACAGAGAGCGGGCTGTGAGCACGATCAGCTATTGGGCTATTGCAGGTTGAAGGGGGTATATTCCGGAGAAAGTGGGCATATTTGATCTTCTTGTTTTTTGTTCTCAAATGAGGGTTGTATTTGGTGGAATGGAGATTAAATTTGTTCTGAGGAAGGGAAATTTCTCGCCCCATTCTTTTACCCTCATCCATATGAGATCTTTCTCGAGAAGAGGGTGAGATGTCTTGCAGAGGTTGGAAATCCCACAGGGCTGTGATGGCAACTCATGGGCTGTTTTGGCCCGGTCGAGTGTAAACGTTTCTCCTGAATGCTTGTCCAAGCAAGTGTCCATAGTTGACTCTTCTCTTCAGCCACCCCCCCCTTCGTTCCCTCCCTGTATAATTCTCGGCTGTGGTAATCAGGAAGGGGTTGAAGGCTGTTCGAATTGAATAAGCAATAATACGATGGAAAAAAATTTCAGGTCAAGGCGAACGGAGGGCGAATCGACAAACTGAAAGTTGCCGATGACTTTGCACTGTTGGATCCTTGCAAGTTAGTGATGGTCCAGTTGTTCCTTTCTGAGCAAGATCCAGAAATCGAATCGATAAGCCATTTTAAACAACTGATTGGTCTTAAGGTCGAAGACCAGGTTTACGGTACCTCATGCGGGACGATGTTCTGTAATGAAGCGCTCGGAGAGGAATGTATCGCTGGAAAATTGTGTGGATGCCCGAAGGGACAGAAACGAAAGGATGCACAGAGCCCTTGTCGTGTGGCAAGTGGCATGTTCGTTACTGTCCTTCTTCACATAGTTCAGTCATGCTGGTCCTAGGTGGAATCCTTCAATCTGCCGCTTCACGTCATACGAGAATAATC